CACTTTCTTCGATCCCCAATTGCAAGATTAGCATGATGCAATCCAAATACACCCAACACCAAATGAGACATTTACGTTAGACAGTTCTGTTGGGAACAGGGGAAGCTCTGCAAAGGCATGTAATTATTGACCAGGAAGTAACACCCTTTTTGCATAAAAATATATCAAAAAGCCAAATTTTCCTTTAATGTGTTATATGGAGCAGTTCAGAAAGAGCTTCTCAGGAAGAAGGACATGAGATGATCAATTGTGCTTTAGATGCTGCCCTTGCATTAAGGAAACTGTAGCCCAAAAAGGGAAAGGATTCAGAATTAAACTCTCTTTTTGCAGGATATTAAGGGGTCACTGGGTACTTCAATGCTGACTTTCAATCCCCAAATCTAATTCGAAAGGCAAAAGGGGGGCAATGGAGAGAGAAAGTTTAATTAGGGATGGGCAGAAATTAGATGCTGCCTCTGGAAAACAGCAATAAATGTGAATGCAGACTGGGTAACATAAAGTCACTTACGTCTTAACAGGTGTTTTTCGGGATGTCGGAAAAAGTTGAATGGGTAAGGTTCTATAAAATGCTGGAAATATGACCTGACTAATGAGGTGGTCTCCTGGTCTGTAATAATTCAACGGATCAGATTCCATATATAGGTTCAATGGGCATTTTGCTTTCAGCATCCTACAGGCTCCATGGGGCATAAGCAGCACAAATAACAGCAGCACTAAATACCATCCTGGCTATGCCTGCAAGAGTCATACACTCTTATGAAAGAAGTAACATTAGAAGTACAGCTGGACTCCTACAGTAGCTTCAGAAGCAGAGGTAGGAAAAGGAAACCTCCCACCGAAACAAGCCCTGCCAGCCTCAAATCTCTCAGGTCAGGCTTCTGATATTTATGACCCAGTCCTTCTTACAGGCTTGTGACAATAAGTTATCTCATTCTGCCTGTGATTCTGATGCTTATGTGATTTGTGGACTCCAAGGCCACCGTTGGGGAAATCCCTGGACTAGATGAACAAAACACCATGATTTTGATAATTATAGGGTTAAGAAGGTCCACCTCCTCTGCAACTCCCTGGAATTGGTGTGTGACTCAATGGGCAGCTGCAGAGCCAGGGCAAAACATGTTTGTGAGAACTCAAAGACGGGGCTGTCAATCTGGGCCTTTCTAAACTTGAGGAAACATTGACCATTAAAGTCCAAGGAACTATAGAATAGCTATGATGGACCAAGGCGGGACATGATAGAGGTTTATAAGCATGGTGTGGATAATATGGATAGGAAAAAGTTTTCCTCCTTCCCAGTAATGATACTAGAAGTTTGGACTTTAGACGGGAATTTAAACCCTTGTGTCCTAGGCCCCTGTCCAACTCCCTGATCACTACACCACAGTGCCTCAGAACTATAGATTCATCGGCATCCAATGGAGGTCTCTAACACAGAGATAAGCCATGAGATACTCACATGAGATAATAGAAGTTAGTGCTGAGTGGTCAATTGGCTTTATACAGTAGCAATAATATCTGCCCTTGGCTTAGTAATACAGTGGTACCTCGGGTTACAGACGCTTCAGGTTACAGACTCCGCTAACCCAGAAATAGTACCTCGGGTTAAGAACTTTGCTTCAGGATGAGAACAGAAATTGTGCAGTGGCAGCAGGAGGCCCCATTAGCTAAAGTGGTACCTCAGGTTAAGAACAGTTTCAGGTTAAGAAAGGACCTCCAGAACGAATTAAGTTCTTAACCTGAGGTACCACTGTATATTAGCAGCCAACTAGAGATTCAATTCAATTTGGCTTCCAATGAAGCTGAATGTTGGAAGAGTCAGGAGAGAGAAATCTCTTATAGACCTTGAAGATTGCTCCTTCCCTGGAAGAATTTCAATCATACATAGTTGGGCTGAGGAAGGCTATTAACATCAGTGTTATCTATGGTGTCCAGTATGTAACAATCCATTATACATTCAAGAACAGTGTGTTTTACTGCAGGTGTTAGTGGAGTTTGGGGCAGATTCTTGAAGATGTGGAACGTTCTGAAGTGACTCTCACTGCTTGCAAATGAGGCCTTCAGCTGTTGAGGTTCTATTGCTCTTTGAACCACTGGGGAAATTGTTTTTTGTAAGAACTCACTGATGGGCCTGTCAATCTGTGTATGTGTAAAAGTTTCCTGTGAAGTCAACAGTGCAATCCTAGCATCTCTACTCAGAATTCCCATACAGTTTAGTGGGTCATCCTCACACTGTCTTTGCATGCAAGGAGAAGCTTTCCCAATGGTATGTCTGCTTCTGGAGCACATTAAGAACGAATCAGATTATAGACCCACTAGAGGTGTAAAATAAATGAAATAGCACCATTGTGTTTTCATTGATTTTTTAAAAACTAAAAGCATATTTTATAATCAAAACAGCAACAACTATTTTAATATTTATACCCCACCCACAACAAGAGCTGTTTGAAGAATCACTGTGTCGTGTGATATGTTCACCCACAACTTAACACACGAAAGCTTATACCCAGAACAAACTTAGTTGGTCTCTAAGGTACTACTGGACATTAAAAAATATATATTTTTATTTATTTCAGCTGCTTCAGACCAACATGGCTACCTACCTGAATGCAGTAGTCCAAGTGGGAGATAACTAGAGCATGCACTACTCTGGCAAGACAGTCTGTGGGTATGTAGGGTCTCAGATGGCCTACCAGATGGAGCTCAATCTGTTGGCCACCATACATCCTCCAACCATCTCCAGATACTACACAGGACCTTCACCCCATTCACTGGCTCCGACTTAAAAGAGAGGTATAGCTGTGTATCGTCCGCACACTGGTAAACACTCAGCCCAACCCCCCTGATGATCTCCATATTCTTCTTCATGCTCAGGCTATGAACTAAAACATTAGGTTTGCTGGAGAGCCAGACTGCTGGTGACCTAGTTGCAGGAGTTTATTGGCCAGTGACGTTACCATGGATGAATGCAGATGTATCATTGTGACATCAGTGTATGATGTCACAGACAGAATGAGCTTCAAACCCCAGCAAAGTGAGAGACAGTTAACAGTCAGACCCAGGCTTAATGCTCTGGGTATTTGTGGCAGATGATGAAAAGGTGGAATGGCAGCTGGTTGAAGTCATTAGAAAGCATCCAGGACCCTCCATCTCCTAGAACCTGGCAAGCCTTGAAAGTAGGAGAGCAAAGAGCTCAAAGACAGAGGGCACGTAGCAGCACCCATAGTAGTGACGAATGAGGAAGTGGGAGAGACGAGGGTGGAGATTCACTTGGGACAAGGCTATTATCTAAGAGGCTGGGTTTTATAGCCCCTCTCTGTAAATATTGAAATAAAAAAAGGACGGTAAGAAACCTTTCCTTGTCTTTATACTTTCCCGGGCAACCAGCCAGAAGCTGCTGATAGCATCCTGACAGATTGTCCCGAGTTAACTTTCATTGGCTGTTAGGTCATAAATCATGACAGATGGCGTAACAGGAGCTATAGGGCAGCCAGCTAATACTGATAACTGAGAAGAACCATTTCAATGGTGTTTACAACAAAATTTATTGTGAAGATGACACGTAGAACAATTAACCAGCACAATAAATCATCAAAATGAAGAATTTGCAAGGATTTCTTGGGGTACCACTTCACACTTGAGGGGGTGCTTATGGATCCTGCTAAGGTGCAGAGTGTAGTTTCATGGGAGGAGCTCAAGATAATGAAAAACCTTCAGAGGTTTTTAGGGTTCAACTATTACCGCAAGTTCATGCCAGCCTATTTGAAACTCACAACCCCCCTCATGGATTGCAAGAGGGGCAAGAAGCCGTTCCAGTGGACTGCTGAGGCGCAACAGGCGTTTGAGCATCTCAAAACCTTGTTCTCCTCAGAGGTGTACCTAGCTCATGCAGACCCCCACAGCCTGTTGGTTGTAGAAAGGGATGCCTATGACAGATTGGTTGGTGCTGTGCTGCTGCAGGAAGACCAAGAGGGGGCCCTACGCTTGTGCACCTTCCACTCTCAAAAATTGATTCCTTCCGAACAGAATGACACTATTTGGGAAAAGGACCTTTTAGCAGTCAATGAAGCCTTTGACGTGTGGAGACACTTCCTGGAAGGGGCATCGCACAAGGTGGAGCTGTGCACCGACCATCACAATCTGGAGTGTCGTCTAAATCAGCAGCAGATCCACTGCACACAGTTCTTTGCTCAGTTTGACTTCAGGGTCCAGTATGTGTCGGATAGTCAGAATCAAGCAGTGGATGCTCTCTCCAGGAAGCCTGAATATCAGAACGACGAGACAGTCCCACTGTTTAGACATATCTTGAAAGCAGCACAGCTACAACTAGGTGCTGGATCAGTCATGGAAGACACAAACTTCCAGCAGCAAGCAAGCGAGGAAGCCTTCGCCAAAGGCAGTTAACAGCACTGCAGGAAAGCAGCAATGAAGCAAAGGGCTTTGTAGAGGAGGGTGGCCTATTGTAGAGTGAAGTTCTCTACATCCCAGCGGGAGACCTCTGAGCCAAGGTGCTGGGTCAATGCCATGACAACCTTAAACTGGGCTACTTCGGGCAGCACAAGACGTTAAAGCATGAGACACAGCAGTTTTGGTGGCCAAGGATGAGGGAGGAGGACAACGAATACCTGAGAGCCTGTGAGATGTGTCAGTGGGCAAAGAGACCAAGGGAGGCACCAGCAGGCTTACTACAACTGCTGCCCACCCCACAAGGACCATGGGAAACCATAGCCATGGACTTCAATACAGATGGAGGAAGACACAGCTCAGAGGCAGATGAGGGGTAAAGTTGGGAAATAATGGGAGAGGAGGAGGAGAAAGAAATGGAGCAGCGGCTTGCTGACACGGTATCAATAGAAAGCATCACAGACCCCCCCCCCCACCTCCCGGAACCCAGCGGGCCTTAAAAGTAGGAGAGCAAAGAGCCAATGACAGCATCCTGACACCAGGGTCAGGTCCACTTTAGCAACACTGTATTTTATGTGACGCTAAGAATCTTCAAAGAATCAGATACTACCATCTTTGCATTTTGTAGTTAGATGTGCTTTTGTGTTCAGATCAGGCCTGAGTATGATAATGTAGCACTTGGGAAGGAAGATGCAGCCCAGAAGCCCAGCACTGGAGGCCAACATAGAGAAGACCTGCACGGCTACCATGAACTTCCCTTTTGTGCTCAGGTAGGTGGGCACAAAAGACACCCAAACACTGCAGAAGACCAGCATGCTGAAGGTGATCAGCCTGGCTTCATTGAAGGACCCTGGAAGGTTCCTGGCTAGGAAAGCCACCGTGAAGCAGATTGCAGCCAGGAAGCCCATGTAGCCAAGGACAGTGTAGAACATGGCAACAGATCCTTCATTGCATAGAAGGATGATCTCTGCAGCTTGGGAGTGTAGGTCAGAGTCTGGGAAGGGTGGGGAGATTCCCAGCCAGATGGTGCAGATGACAGCTTGCATACCACAACAGGAAAGGACAATGCAGTTGGCCAGGCTCTTCCCCAGCCATCTCCTCATCTTGTTCCCTGGCTTTGTAGCCAGGAAAGCCAGCACCACAGTGGTGGTTTTTGCCAAAACAGAAGAGACAGCAACTGAGAAGATGATGCTGAATGCTGTTTGTCGGAGAAGGCAGGTGACTTTCCTTGGCCGGCCGATGAACAGGAAGGAGGACCAAAAGGAAAGCAGGAGGGAGATAAGGAGTATATAGGATAATTCCCGATTGTTAGCTTTGACTATGGGAGTTTCCTTGTATTTAACGAAGATTCCTAGGACCACACCAGCGGTTAAGGACAAGAAGATGGCAAAGGAAACCAGGACAATCCCCAAGAATTCTTCATAAGTGAGAAATGTTATAGTCTTGGGGAAACATTTGTCTCGCGCTTGATTTGCATGCTGATCTTCTGGGCATCTGGTGCAATGCTTTGCATCTAAGGAGAAGGAGAATGACTTCAGCATAACTCACAAAATTCTTATATCCATAACTGTCTGTTTTCCGATACATTGGGAATCATCAATAATAAATTAATAGATGATAGGATTTTGATTGTCTGGAGCAGGGGTCCCCAAACTTTTTAAACAGGGGGCTGGTTCACTGTCCCTCAGACACTGTCGGGGGCCTGACTATAATTTGAAAGAAAATATGAATGAATTCCTATGCACACTGCACATATTTTATTTGTAGTGCACAAAAAGAGGAAAAACAATACAATATTTAAAATGAAGAACCATTTTAATCAACATAAACATATAAGTATTTCAACGGGAAGTATGGACCTGCTTTTGACTAATGAGATGGTCCATGTTGCTAATGCTCGTCCCTACAACCCAGGTTACACATGGATTTCCCTCACCCCCGTGGCCCAGTCTACATGCAGGCCTTCCATGCCTCCATCCCCACAACCCAGCCTACACCCTTGTCTGCCTGCACACACCCACTCCCACAACCCAGCTTATACATGTCTCCCTAACCCCCTTCCCCATGACCCAGGCTATGCATGTGCTTCCTACCAGATCCCCAACCCAGCCCGCACCCATGTCTCTTTAAGCCCCATCCTCACAAGCCAACTTGCCCGAGTGTCTCCCTCACCATCACCCACCCACCCCAGCCTGTATGCCTGTCCTCCAGCCCCAAATCCCCACACTTCAGCCTGACCATGCGTCTCCCTACCAATCTCCACGGTGCAGCCTGCATGCATGTCGCCCGTCCCCATGACTCCCGACTTACTGTGGGGCAGCTCCTCCGGCACATCATGAACTCCATGTTGCGGAAGATTGGGGGATCAGAGCCGGTACTGGGCTCTGGGGAGGCGAGGCAGGAGCCCTGTGAAGCGGTAGCAAGGATGCGGCGCCCTGCAGTGCCAGCAAGGCCCTCACGCTGGGCCCATCCTATGCACTCCCGGCCTCTGTGGTGGGGAGGTGGGCGGGAGAGGCCCAGCTTGCCCAGGCAGTGTGCTCGCTCGCAGGCAGGTGAGGAGGCCGTGAGTGGGAGACAGGGCGCATGGAGTCTGGGGCACGTGGGACTCCTCTTCCTCCACAATCCCCTTCCGACCCAGGTGAGCCGGGTCCAGGACCCTGGTGGACCAGATACAGCCCATGGGCCTTAGTTTTAGGACACCTGGTCTGGAGTATTGAAGGTTGTAAGTCAGTGGAAAAATACAGGCTAGGTTTCTTTCCAAGCCAGGACGTTACATGGGGCAGAGGCCCTAACATGACAAAAGCTGTTGATGGCCCATCTGAGAGGAATTCTTGGGCCTGGGAAGATGGAGGTTGCTCTGGTGATGGGGTGTGCATTTGAGGTGTCAGGAAAATACAGTCTTTAGCAAAGTAGGCTCGGAAGAATAAGGCAGAGAACAAGGAGGGACCCGTCTTGGCTAGGGTGGCTGAAAAATGGTTAGGAGAGATTTCTTGCACTCGAGTTCTGCATTGCTATGGGGAACAAGTCCCTCTTGATCATGTGCTAAGATCTGGACTCCCTCCATGCAGATTGAAGGTGTAAATATGTGAATAAATCATATTTCTTAAAGCTATAACAGTTTTCCCGTGTCTTCAATTCTCCAAAGGAGCACAAACTCTGGGTGACCCCTAGAACCCCCTGGAATTTTGCTTCTGCTCGGCAGAGAGTGGGGTGGTGCCCAACTTCTGTAGGCTTCAATATTTGTCCCCTTCCCTTGACGGCTGTTGTGCTCAGGCCCCGCTTATGGGCTTTTCATAAGCATCTGATTCAACACTGTGAGAACAGGGCTTTGGACCACCTGGGGCTTTGGCCTGATCCAGCAAGCCTCTCCCTTTCCTCTGGAGTCACCCACCTTCCTGAACGGAGATGGTCCCTTCTGCACAAGGAGCACAATCATAGCAGCAAACGGGCTCCCCTTCTTTAGCAACTCTGGCATATCCAGGGGGACAGCTTTTGGTACATCTTGAACGAGGCACGACCTAAAAACACGGAGAGGGAGAATCAACGGGGAGCAGCATAAATTGCAGACATCAAAGAATAATCATTTTTAGAATTCTGAGGCCAGGTTAGAAAGCTTAAAATGGGAACGAGACCCTTTCAAATTTTGTTGGACTGTGGAGAACTTGTCTTCTTTCTGACATAAAGTTTCATTTTTAATTGTTGAACACAAAAGATCAAACAAACTTTGGCATTTTAAACTGTATTTGATATATATTGGTTTTTGTTGTTACTATGATAGGGTTGCCATATTCAGGACAAAGTTAAAGCGGAACCTCTACATACATCCCACTGTACTTAGGCCCGTTCCAAGTCACAGCTGCGGAAAACCCGGAAGTAAACACCAGGTTTGCCACGACTCACGCACACGCAGAAGTGGCTGCTGCCATCTGCACATGCACAGAAGTGGGCTGCTGCCAAATGCACCTGCACACAACGGCGCTTCTACCAGCTAATCATTCCGCTATAAGGATGGGCCTCTGGAAGGGACTGTGGTCGTGAGTAGAGGTTCCACTGTATTGAGCTTTAATTTCCCCCCGCTCTCAATTTTTTTGTGCTTTTCTTTGAATTATTGTTATTTTAATTGCCCTACTTGTCATACATTTGAATTCTCCAGTACACTTTTCTGTTTCAGCAAAAAGCTGCCTGGGTGCCATTTCTGCAGCCCAATTCTTGGATGTGTCTGAGATAACACGGAGGTATGGCAGCCCTATACTATGGTGTATATGAAAGCACTATGGTGCTTTTATAAGCAGTTGCTGTTATTGGCCAGCTGATAAAGGCCACATGGCAGTTAGGCCCACACTGCCAACTTTTGGCCCATTGATGTCCTTGTTTCATCCACTCGGAGGGATAGATGAAAATGCAAGCTTAAGAGCAGCCTCTCCTCTCTTTGCCCCGTTCCATCTGATTTGCTATGCAAAACAGAGAGGGCAAAACAGAGAGAAAACAGCTGTGCTCTACACAATCAGGAGTGGGTCTCACTCTGCACAGGGCCCACTTAGGGTTAACCTGAAAATGGCTCCTATCAGCATATTACCAGAACGTAACAGATGTCACAGCAAGGGAACCAGAACCAGTTGTGCCATAGGGTTAGAGGGTTGGACGAGAATCTGGGGGACTAAGGTTTAAATCCCCATGAAGCCATGAAGCTTCCTAGGTGACCTTGGGCCAATCACTTCCTCTTGGTCTATCCTACTTCACAGGGTTGTTGTGAGGATTAAATGAAGAGGCAGAAAACCATATATAGTTCCAAGTAGACAAAAATGTGTAAACAAGCCTGATGCCTTTTGCGTGCTAATTTTGTCTGGTCAATACGAAGGGTATCGGCAAGAAAAACTGACATTCTGTCCGCCATCCCAGTATTCCTTCAGCAATTAGACCTATCCTGCACTCTGAGGAACTCCCAATTCCAGTTTTTAAGGGGTTTGTCTCTTCTGAAGATGAAGGAAATGAACATGGTGAGGAGCATAACTGGATCATCTGTGTGGATCTCAAAATGGTCAACTTCTTGCTTGGACAACAGAAAGGCTTTACCAAGTACCTGAATAACAACAGCTTGTAGATACCACTGGGGAACAAAAATCGCAGTCACTTGTGTGATCCTTGGGTTCTCGCCAAACCATGGGAACCCAAAAAGGCATACTCTTCCGTTTTGCTTTTGTCCAGTCTCTGAGCATTTCCTCACAATTGTGACAAACAATATGTGGAGCCCATTTCTTGTGTTGGTTGCCCAGGGGAATTTCAAAATAGCTTTTATGGGCACGCCTCACAAACACTGCTTGTGTTTTTGTGTCTTTGATGAGGAAGTGTGTAGCAGCCACATACATAACAAAAGGCACCAGGCTTGTTTACACATTTTTGTCTACTTGAAGAAGCCATGGTCCGATCTTAAAAATACAAATATTTAGATTACAAAACTATAAAAATAAAGAAAAATTAAGTTTGCATAACAATAATTACCATGTGGTTAGGGTAGATCAAAGTGTCACGGTCCACTTATCCCCAGTGTAAATATGACATATCAGCAAAAGTTGGAAATTGAAAGATAACTATAGCATGTACATGAAAATCGATTTCAGATTTGAAATCAGCATTGAAAGAACATATATGAACAGTCAAAAAATCTCATGCAACAGAAAATGAAAAAAAAATTTGTTCCCCGGTGATATATATGCAATGAAATAAAGAAAGAAAGAAAGAATGACTGAATGAATGAATGCAATGACCTTGCTGAAGCTCCCAGGCCAAACAATGGCTTCTGGTTTAATGGAGAATTTTATGCCTGAGGATGCCTGTCCCTCGATGCTCCCAACTTTCTTTCTGCTGTGAGATCTATTGGGAAATATGACCCAGTTCATGATATCAAAGTTGGCAGTCAGCTCCCCATTCTGATCAGAATACATCCCTCCTATGGATGAATTGGAAAGCCAAATTTCTTTCAAGAAAGTGTGAAGCTAGAATGGCAGAGAAAATGCCAGCATTTAGAAAACATGATATCAGGGTTGTTGCAGGATGTTTCCCAGGTATATGATTGAGAAAATCCTTTCCTGAAGTTGGATATTTTGTGGGATGTAGTCTTGTTTTTCTTTTTTGAGGAAGGTTCCAGACATCTTACCAATTTCATGAGAATTGTCCTAAATCAAGGACATTGAGGCAGAGGCCTTGGGTCAGCTAAATGATGACCTTTTGGTCATTACAACAGGTCCTTTATCAGGTTATAAATTCACAGGACAATTGACTCAAATAAACACATATAGAGGACACATCCTAGCAAGCACTTGGCAATTGTAGAAAGCTAGCATGCCTTTTAATTGGTTTTAAGCTAACCTATTTTCATTTCGACTTTCTATGTTTTAAATAAGGTTTTCTTTAGTGATAATTTTTTTATTTAAACTTTTTTGTAAAGTGCTTTGAGGTTTTGTTTCAGGAGTCAAGCAATATACAAATATTATGCAATAAATATAGTAATTAATTAATCTTTATGTAAGAGAACGCTCCTTAACAATTTTTCATAGCTTAGCTTGTGCTTTGAAAGTCCCCCTAACTTTCCCAAATTAATTATTAAAAAATATGATTTTAATCAATTTTCAAAGTATCTTAGAACCTCAAAAATAGATGAACAATTATAAAAAAACAACTTATTAATATGTCCTACTAAAGATAAGGCATAGGAAACCAATACATATTTAATCAATGAGATAAACTTCAATGAATATGCAATCTGAAATGGATTCCAGAGATGAACAACGTGTTTGCAAAAAAGGGGAGAGGACAGACCTGCCATGGCTGCAGCCTTTGAAATTCCAATCTGTCTTCTCCACCCGCCATTACCTTCCATTTGGATTTGGATGAATATGCAGCATTTAGGGCCTGAGCCACAAACTGGACACTGTAGTAAATGCTATAGCGGTCTTGAGACCAGATTGCCTCCATCTCCTCCTGGGACAAAGTTTCCTGTAGTTCCTTTTCTGTGCATCTTGTCCAACCCATCATGGGCAGCACATCCTTTGAACATGAACAATTGAATGCTTTCTCCCAAAACTGTACAGATGCAGATTCAGTTGCAAATGATAGTCGAGTATAGTAGCCACGTTCTCTTCTTTTTTTGGTATTCATTACAAAGGACAAAGAACCTTGGGCAGGTGGGAAAGAATGCATGTTACGAAACAACATATCGTCAATGTCCATAAGATCTGTTGTGATCCAGATTATACCCTGAGATTCCCTGACTTGAGGAATGCTTTGTAAAATCATGATTGGATAAATTCCATGTTCAGAGTCCCCATAATAAACAAACACCTTGACTTTTCTCAAGTCCGAAGCTTTACAATGTAAGGATGACATTTGTCGCAGGGACAAAATCCGAAATTTTTCCAAGAAAGCAACACAAATCCCACAGTGGATCAGCGGAGGTGTGAAAGCACTCAGGAACCTTTCTCCATTGTCATTGTCTGGAACAAAGAGACCGATCCATGTCCACCCGAAATGCAACAACAATTTGACAATCCCCATGTGCTGGGTTTCTTCTTTGGGGATCATCCGGTAGATAAAAGGGAACTGAGTTTTGTCATTCAGATCCTGAGCAGCAGAGCCAAAACTGATCTAGTAAAAATAGGATTGGTGTCATGTTTTCAGAAATACACAAGAAGGGTCCCATCACACGATCAGGCCAAAGGCTCAAATAACCAGATGCTTACAGGATGTCTGCCATGCCTCTGATGGATTAATCCTGTTCAGAAGAGGACCTGGAGCTTACAGAGAAGGAAGTGGCTCCAATGGACATTGAGACAGAGTATCTGGAGCCCTCAGGGGTCTTGGCACTCCAACCTCTTCCTACAGTCGCAATGTGCCACTACACAGAATAAGAGGCAGAAGCTAAGCAGCTGCACAGTCTGAAGGAGTGCAAGCACTTAAACCTCTATGTTCAGTTAGCTGTCAGACATCCACTGGTCTTCCTGAGAAACAAGAACTCATTAGCAGCCAGGGGCTACTTTTTAATACATCTTCCTATGACAGTCTGGGGAGGGAGACAGAAAGAGGCGGAGGGTTTTCTAAATCGCTTTCCACATTCTTAAAATGTGATTCCCCGCCCCCTTTGGTTTCTCTTTTTGGGTGCTTTTCTTTTGTGTTCCCTGGAAAAATAGGTGCTTAGGATATTGCTGAAGCACATCTCCCATCAGTCTGCACAAACATGGTTACAAATAATGGTTGTCTTTGTAGTTTAGAAACTTCTGGCGCATGAAGGGGTTCCTCACCACTGCTGGAGAGACAGCAAAGAGGAATGAAGCATAATTGATCTCTTCTCTTCCAATTCCTACCTGCGCCATTTTGTAGATGCCTAACATGCTTGAAATCTGGCTGGGGATTTCAGAAGAAGTTGCTTCAAAAACAGCCAACACTTTATTCTGTCTTCCACAGCTGTAGTTTGGAATACTGTCTAGCATGGCATCGGCAGTTGTCCTGACATCAAAAGCGGCCTCATAGATGCTATAGCCCAGGGTGACATTGGCTAAATGCTTAAGATACCGGGTGATCTCCTGGGTTGCAAACAAGATGGAGAGGACTGGTGTGGTGTCCCATGCTGACCAACTGCAAATAAATGAATACACGAAAAATCATTTTAGCCTCCTATTCCCCATTAAATGAAAACAACTTGCAACACTCCTTGCTCTATAAGAATATCAGAAGAGCCTGCTGGTTTTATATCTAACGGGCCAAACTCTGCAGCTAGGAAGGAGCAGAATCTTACCCAGATCCACCAAGAAAGAAAGGAGTAGCATTTAGGAGAGCTTGAGCTGGGGTGAATTAGACTGAAATGATCAGTTAAAGTTTCTTAAGTGCAGAGACTTGTTAGGAACTCTTTAGAGGATGAGAAGATATGAAAGAGAGAAATGCGCTCTCTTGGGCTACCCACCTTAACTTCTGAGGGTGGTGGAACTACCTAGTAAGATTCCTATACTGATTTGAACGTTCCATAGAGTTTAAAGGGAAGGAGGTGGTATCCTTACGTTCTGATTTTTACACTTTCTTTGATCCACAAATGCAAGATTGCACAGTGCATTTAATACTTACTTAAGATACAATGTAATCCAAATACACCCAAGACCACCTGGGACTTTTAAGTTAGACAGTTCTCTTTGGAATACAGGAATAGGGGAAGCTGTCAAAGGCATTTTATACTTGACTAGGAAGAAACACAGTTTTTGCATAAAAATACAAAATGAGACATGAGATGATCAACTGTGCTTTAGTTGCTGCCTTTGTATTAATGAAACTCCAAAATAGTGAAACGGTTCAGAATTAGCCTCTCTGTTAGCAGGATGCCAAGGGGTCACTAGGTACTTTGTTGCTGATTCTCAATCCCCAAATCTTCTTCCAAAGGCAGTAGAGGGCCAAAGGAGAGAGAAGGTTTTTATCAGGGATGGCCAGATATTAAATGGTGTCTCTGACAAACAGCCATAAATGTGAATGAAGGCTGGGTAACATAAAGTCACTTACGTCATAACAGTGTTTTTGGGAGGGATGGAGAAGTTGAATGGGTAAGTTCTATAAGCTCTTGGAAATATGACCCCACTAATGAGGTGGTCTCCTGGCCTGAAATAATTCAGCGGATCACTTTCCTCATTTAGGTTCAATGGGCATTTTGCTTTCAGCATCCCACAGGCTCCATGGGGCATAAGCAGCACAAATAACAGCAGCACTAATATCATCCTGGCTATGCCTGCAAGAGTCATACACTCTTGTGACAGCAGTTACATTAGAAGCACAGCCGGACTCCTACAGTAGCTTCAGAAGCAGAGGTAAGAAAAGAAAACCTCCCACAGAAACAAGCCCTGCCAGCCCCAAATCTCTCAGGCCTGGCTTCTCATATTTATGACCCAGTTCTTCTTTCAGGCTTGTGACAATAAGTTATCTGATTCTGCCTGTGATTCTGATGCTTATGTTATTTGTGGACTCCAAGGCCATCGTTAGGGAAATCCCTGGAGTATGTAAATTATCATGATTTTTATAATTATCAAATTAAGAATGTCCACCTGCTCTGCAGATCCCTGGAATCGGTGTGGGACTCAATGGGCAGCTGCAGAGCCAAAGCAAAACATGTTTGTGAGAACTCAAAGATGGGACTCTCAATCTGGGCCCTGCTAAACTTGAGGAAACATTAACTTCAGTAAAGTCCAAGAAACTACAGAATAGCTATGATGGACCAAGACCAGCAAGGCAGGACTTGTTAGACATTTATAAATTCCTGCATGGTGTGGATAATATGGATAGCAAAAATTTTCCTCCCTCCCAGTAATAATACTAGAAGTTTGGAATTTAAACCCTTGTGTCCTAGGCCCCTGTCCAGCTCCCTGATCACTACACCACACTGCCTCAGAACTATAGATTCTTTGGCATCCAGTGGCGGTCTCTAACACAGAGATAAGTCATGAGATACTCACATGAGCTAATAGAAGTTCGGGTTCATGAGACAACCCAACCATCTGACTGGTCAATTGGCTTTATATAGTAGCCATAATACCTGGCCTTAGCTTAGTAATATACAGGTATGTAGTAACAGCCAACTAGAGATTCAATTCTAATTCAATTCAGCTTCCAATGACGCTGAGTGTTGGAAGAGTCAGGACAGAGAAATCTGTTAGAGACCTTGAAGACTGCCCTTTCCCTGGAAGAATTTCAATCATACATAGTTGGGCTGAGGAAGGCTATTAACATAAATGTTATCTATAGAGTCCAGTATGTAATGATCCATTATACATTCAAGAACAGTGTGTTTTACTGTAGCTGTTAGTGCAGTTTGGGGCAGATTCTTGAAGATGTGGAACCTTCTGAAGTGACTCTCACTGCTTGCGAATGAGGCCTTCAGCTGTTGAGGTTCTATTGCTCTTTGAACCACTGGGGAAATTGCTTTTTGTTTTTTTTAAATAGTTTTTATTGCATTTTTTCATACACAGACAGAAAACAGAATAAGAGAAAAAGAAAGAAAAATATGAAAGAAAATAAAAAGAAATCATAACCCTTCATCAGCTTATTCCAAGATTCCATCGAACTTCCCCACATCTCCCACACAATGCATTCTTGATAATAAAATTTATCCGCAAATTATAACCTTGTTTCATGTGTTTCTTTGGTACTTTCAATTACAATTTAAGTTTAAATCCCTTATTGTCCATTTACTCTAAAAACAAAATGTATTATCCTTTTTAACATTTAAACTTTGATCCCTTCAATATTGTTAACCAATTTCATAAATATTATACTCTCATTGCTGGGGCTAGCATTTCAAATTATGCGTCATTTTATAGTTCATATAACTTATAAAATTTTTGCAAATAATTCTTAAATTTTTTCCAGTCCTCCTCCATTGCTTCATCTCCCAGGTCTCGGATTCTGGCAGTCATTTCGGCCAACTCCATGTAGTCAATCAGTTGCGTTTGCCACTCTTCCAGCGTGGGTAAATCTTGAGTCTTCCAATATTTGGCGATCAGAATTCTTGCTGCCGTGGTAGCATACATAAAAAACGTTCTATCCTTCTTTAAAACCTTTTGGCCGACAATACCCAAGAGGAAGGCCTCCGGTTTTTTAGGAAAGGTGTACTTAAACACCTTTTTTAACTCGTTGTAGATCATTTCCCAGAAGGCCTTCACTCTTGGGCAAGTCCACCAAAGGTGAAAGAATGTTCCTTCAGCCTCCTTGCACTTCCAACATTTGTTATCAGACAAATGGTATATCTTAGCAAGCTTGACTGGGGTCATGTACCACCTGTATACCATTTTCATAATGTTTTCTTTCAAGGCATTACATGCCGTAAATTTCATACCGGTGGTCCATAACCTTTCCCAGTCTTCAGACATGATATTGTAACCAATGTCCTGAGCCCACTTTATCATGGCTGATTTAACTGTCTCATCCTGTGTATTCCACTTAAGCAGCAAGTTATACATTCTCGATAAAACCTTGGTCTTTGGTTCTAACAACTCTGTCTCGAGTTTCGATTTTTCCACCTGGAATCCTATTTTTTTATCCAACTTAACAACCTCGTTAATTTGGGCACCCTGAGGATCATGTGGTATAAACTTCTGCAACGCAGGAATATGCAGCTGATGAGCTTGTTAGGCTCCGAAGTCCAAGTGGTCTTTGAAACATAAATAACCTACGTTTATGAGCACTTGTTATTCCTAATAAGTGGACTTATTCAGCAGCTGTTTCATCAGGGTAAAGGAGAGATGAGACTACATGTCTCTCCTGAGAGACTTGGAATGGGTGCCTGAACTTGCTGTTCCCTTTTTCCCTCCCAGTCCACTTTTGTGTTGTGTCTCTTAGATTGTGAGCTGAGGGCAGGATCTGCCTTCTCGATATTTGTGAGTCAATCTTGGGAGCTTACTTGTGTAGCAGGATTAAAATGCCCATAATGATTAAGCATACATATATATTTATAAACCACTCTTTTAAACTTTTTCTAAAAAGTTGTGAAAACCTTTCTGTTGCCTTACTGTATCTAACATATTAAGTGTTTTAGGTTGCATTGCCCATTTCTCCTGGGGAAAGACCTTCTTGAGATAAATTCTCTCACCCCCTAAGTGCAGACAGGAGACAGTGGTCCTTTTCCATACATGCAGGAGCATAAATAGCTGTGTGTGTGTGTGTGTGTGTGTGAGAGAGAGAGAGAGAGAGATAAGTGTATATTCTGGGAGGCATAGCTAATTGTATATAATATTTTTTATTAATTTTCAATTACAGTACAGTGGTACCTCAGATTACATACGCTTCAGGTTACACACGCTTCAGGTTACAGACTCCGCTAACCCAGAAATAGTACCTCAGGTTAAGAAGTTGGCTTCAGGATGAGAACAGAAATCGTGCTCTGGCGGCGCGGCGGCAGCAGGAGGCCCCATTAGCTAAAGTGGTGCTTCAGGTTAAGAACAGTTTCAGGTAAAGAACAGACCTCCAGAATGAATTAAGTACTTAACCCGAGGTACAACTGTAATCCAATGACAATCACATTATCACAAACCAAATTACACCAATTAAAAGGAGCCAATTATTCAAATGCCAAATGAAACTTATTTAGGTGACTTCCCGTGTCTGGACTTCTGGGTGCGATGATCTTAATTAGGGCTTTAAAGGTCAGCACCAACACTTTGAATTGTGCTCGGAAACGTACTGGGAGCCAGTGAAGTTCCTTTAGAATCACTGTTATATGGACCTTGTGGAGATAACCACAGCATGCACCATTCTGGTGAGACAGTTTGTGGACAGGTAGGGTCGCAGCTGGCATACCATATGGAGCTGGTAGACAGAGTTAACCTGTGCCTCCATGGACACCTGTGAGTCCAAAATAACTCACCTGAGCACCTCGTCCTTCAGGGGCACCAGGTCTTTCAGGGGCACAGTTGCCCCATTCAAGACCCAGGGGTCACCCATGCCTGCCCCTATCTCCGTAAAACAGTACCTCTGTCTTGTCAGGATTCAACTTCAGTCCATCAGCCACCATCCATTCTCCAACCATCTCTGGATACTCACACATGACATTCACCCCCTTCACTGGTTCCGATTTAAAAGAGAGGTAGAGCTGTGTATCATCCGCACACTCCTGAACAATCAGCCTGACCCCCCTGATGATCTCCATATTCTTCTTCATGCTATGGCTATGAAAGAAAACATTATGATTGCTGGAGAGCCAGGCTGCTGGTGACCTAGTTGCAGGAGTTTGTTGGCCAGTTACGTTACCATGGATGAATGCAGATGTATCATTGTGACATCAGTGTATGATGTCACACACAGAATGCGCTTCAAACCCCAGCAAAGTGAGAGACAGTTAACAGTCAGACCCAGGCTGAATGCTTTGGGTATTCATGGCAGATGATGAAAAGGTAAAACATGGGGGCTATGGTATCTTTTACCAAAGATTACAGTTGTCTAGAGAGCAAAAATGAATTAGATGGATGAAACAATAATATAGGGGCACAGCAGAACATGGACTATATACATGCTGAAGGCCCTTGGTTCAATTCCTGACATCTGCAAATCATCCTGAAATCTTTGGGGCAGGAGCAAGACTGCAAGAAACCTTTAATTGCCTTTATACTTTCCTAGGCAACCAGCCGAAAGCCGCTAACAGCATTTTGACACCAGACTCGGTTCTACTTGAACAACGTGGTATATGAAGTGCAGCTAAGAATCATCAAAGAAGCTAAGAATCAGACACTACCACCTTCACTTTTTGAAGTTAGATGTTCCTTTGTGTTCAGATCAGGCCTGAGTATGATAATGTAGCACTTGGGAAGGAAGATGCAGCCCAGAAGTCCAGCACTGGAGGCCAATATAGAGAAGACCTGCACAGCTACCATGAACTTCCCTTTGGTGCTCAGGTAGCTGGGCACAAAGGACACCCAAACACTGCAGAAGACCAGCATGCTGAAGCTGATCAGCTTGGCTTCATTGAAGGACCCGGGAAGCTTTCTGGCTAGGAAAGCCACCGTGAAGCAGATGGCTGCCAGGAAGCCCATGTAGCCAAGGACAGTGTAGAACATGGCAACAGATCCCTCATTGCATAGAAGGATGATCTCTCTAGCTTGGGACTGCATGTCGGAGTCTGGGAAGGGTGGAAAGATTCCTAGCCAGATGGTGCAGATGACAACCTGCATACTGGAACAGGAAAGGACAATGGAGTTGGCCAGACTCTTCCCCAGCCATCTCCTCACCTTGTTCCCTGGCTTTGTGGCCAGAAAGGCCAGCACCACAGTGATGGTTTTTGCCAACACAGAAGAGACGGCAACTGAGAAGATGATGCTGAAGGCTGTTTGTCGGAGGAGGCAGGTCACTTTGCTTGGTCGGCCGATGAACAGGAAGGAGGACAAAAAGGAAAGCAGGAGGGAGCTGAGGAGTATATAGGATAAGTCTCGATTGTTAGCTTTGACTATGGGAGTTTTCATGTATTTAATGAAGATTCCTAGCACAACACAAGCGGTTAAGCACAAGAAGAGAGCAAAGGAAACCAGGAGGATCCCCAAGGGTTCTTCATAAGTGAGAAATGTTATAATCTTGGGGACACATTTGTCTCTTGCTTGATTTGCATGCTGTTCTTCTGGGCATTTGGTGCAATGCTTTGCATCTGAAGAGAAGAAGAAGGACTTCGGTATCGCTAAGAAATCTCACACATCCTTAACTATCTGTGTTCCAATACAATGGGATAATACAACAAAGTGGGAGAGGTCAGGAAATCAGAGAGGGACAACATTTCCCTGGCTTATGTCAGGATTTGCTTGAATAGTACTATATCCTGCACAGAATTAAAATGGTATTATTAAGCCATTTTTGAACATTTTAGTCTGATGTAGGCATCATGTAGGCATCATCAGATTTGCTTCCATGTTGGAGAAACAGAACAGATTACAGAGTGTTCTCCTTCTATAAGGAAAGTTTGCACATGTTTTGATTTGATTTCATTCATTCATTTATCCTTCCAATTCTAGGCTACTTAACATGAAAAGTGGTGCACAGAAAACTAAAGCAACAGCTGACAACTTAAGCAATAATCACTTTTTTCACTCTAGGTTTACTCTTTTATGAGCAGGCCCCATGGTGGATGAAGCAGCATCCTCAGGCTGCCCACAGCTGTATCCCATAGAGCGCTCAGTCACCCACCTTCCTGAACGGAGATGGTCCCTTCCGCACAAGGAGCACAATCATAGCAGCAAACGGGCTCTCCTTCTTTAGCCACTCTGGCATATCCAGGGCAACAGCTTTCGGTGCATCTTGAACGAGGTGCGACCTAAAAACCAGGAGAAGGAGCAACAAAAGGAGATCGGCATGAATTACATCATCAGAAGGGCTTGACTAAAATAATGCTTAAATAAAAATCATTTTTAAAATACTGAGGACAGGTTAGCAAGCTTTAAAATTGGACTGTGGCACTTCCAGATTTGTTAGAACTATGGAGAACTCCTCTTCTTTTTGACATGAAGTTTCCTTTTTAATTGTTGAACACAAATATTGTTGAACACAAAATATTAAACCAATTTTGGCCTCTTAAACTGAGGTCTATTGTTCTTTTTTGTTACTATGACAGGGTTGCCATATTCCAGACAAAGTTGTTGAGCTTTATTTCCCCCCCCCCTCTAAAAGTTTTTGGGTTTTTCTTTGAATTTTTAACCTTTTTTTAAAAAAAATGCCCTACTTGCCCTACTTTCGGTTTCCCCCCGACATTTAGACGATACAGCAAAAATCTGCCTGAATTTCTGCAGTCATATTCCCGGATGTGTCTGAGATAACATGCAGGTACGGCAGGAGGTATGGTGTCTATTGTTGAGCTTTTATAAGCAGTTGGCATGATTGGGTAGCTGATGAAGCCCACATGACAGCTAGGGCCACACTGCCAAATTTGGCCCATTGATGTCCTTATTCATCCACTCAGAGGGATAGATGAAAATGCAAGTGTAAGAGCAGCCTCTCCTCTCTTTGCCCTACTCCATCTGAAGCAGCTATTCAAAACAGAGAAGGAAAACAGGAGTGGTGAACACAACCAGGAGCAGGTCTCACTCAGGCTGGACCCACTTAGGGCTGAACTGAAAATGGCCCCTATCAGAAAATTATCAGAACTTAGCAGATGTCACAGCCAGGGAACCAGAGCCAGTTGTGCCATAGTGGTTAGAGGGTTGGATGAGAGCCTGGGAGATTAAGATTCAAATTCCCAGGTAGCCATGCAGCTTCCTTTGTGACCGTGGGCCAATCACTTCCTCTCAGTCTATCCTACTTCAGAAAACCATATATAGTATTTTGATCTCCATAGAGAAAAAGTGCAATAAATAAACAGATAAATGAATAAATGTGATGACCTTGCTGAAGTTCCCAGGCCACACAATGGTTTCTGGTTTAATGGAGAATTTTATGCCGGAGGATGCCTGTCCCTCGATGCTCCCAACTTTCCTTCTGCTGTGAGATTTATTGGGAAATACGACCCAGTTCACGATATCAAAGTTGGCAGTCAGCTCCCCATTCTGATCAGAATACATCCCTCCTATGGATGAATTGGAAAGCCAAATTTCTTTCAAGAAAGTGTGAAGCTAGAATGGCAGTATTTAGAAAATGGCAGTATTTAGAAAACGTATTATCAGGGTTGTGTGTGAGAACTGAAGGCTTGTGTGCAAACTCCATAACAGATGAGAGTAAACTATGTTTATTTTTTAAAAAATTAATATTTTATTAAGTTTTATCCATAAAATAATTCAGAAACAAAATACAAAAACAGAAAAATACAAAATCACAAAATACAAAAATACAAACATTAAACGCAAAAAGGAAAGAAAAAAGAGAATGACCGCTCCCCACTTAAAACGGGGGGGGGGGCCATTTGCTCGGGCGCGTGCAGCCCCTAGATCTGGAGCGGCCCCAACAGCATAGGCTTGGCTTTGCCTTCCCTCAGGTGGGATACCTGGAGGTCTCCGCCTACCTCAGTCAGTTGTCCAATCCCACCTGGGGGAAGCGTTGCCAAGGAGACCAGGCCAGGTAGGGGAGGGATGCCCACACAATAGAGGGAGGATCTTACCTAGGAATCCTCACTTGAAAAAACAGAAACACATAAAAACAAAACTCCCTCTTTTTTAAATTCTCATCTTTGGTTAACTTATTTTCCTGACTTCCTCACGCCTCCCTTATTTGTATCCCTTTTTAAAAAAAATTGGTTCAGCAAATTCATATCCAATTTAGCTTATCTATTATCAATCCCATCTTACATTTTACCTTATTGCTAGAACCCCTTCAGTTCATTTCAATGTCACCAGCATTCAAAAATTTTACAATGTTTCTGTAAATAAATTTTAAATTTCCTCCAATCTTCTTCCACAAACTCTTCTCCCTGGTCTCAAATTCTGCCAGTCATTTCCGCCATTTCCATGTAGTCTATTAGTTGCATTTGCCATTCTTCCAGGGTGGGTAGGTCTTGTGTCTTCCAGTGCTTTGCAATGAGAATTCTTGCTGCTGCTGTAGCATACATAAAGAAAGTTCTATCCTTCTTTGGCACCAATTGGCCGACAATGCCCAGGAGAAAGGCCTCTGGTTTCTTCAGGAAGGTATATTTAAATACCTTTTTTCATTTCATTATATATCATTTCCCAGAAAGCCTTAATCCTTGGGCACGTCCACCAAAGGTGAAAGAATGTGCCTTCAGTTTCTTTACATTTCCAACATTTATTATCGGGCAAATGATATATTTTTGCAAGCTTGACTGGAGTCATGTACCACCTGTACATCATTTTCATAATATTCTCTCTTAAGGCATTACATGCCGTGAATTTAATCCCGGTGGTCCACAACTTCTCCCAGTCAGCAAACATAATATTGTATCCTATATCCTGTGCCCATTTTATCATTGCCGATTTTACCGTTTCTTCCTCAGTATTCCATTTCAGCAGCAGATTGTACATTCTTGATAGTATCTTAGCATTGGGTTCTAACTGTTCTGTTTCTAACTTTGATTTTTCCACCTGGAAACCAATTTTTTTATCCAAGTTATAAACCTCTCTTATTTGAAAATAATGTAACCAGTCTCGCACCTTCTCTTTAAGTTTGTCATAACTCTGCAATTTCAATTTGTCACCTTCCTGTTCTAAAATTTCCCAATATTTTGGCCATTTGGCCTCCATATTAAGTTTTTTCAAAGCTTTCGCTTCCATAGGTGATAGCCACCTTGGGGTTTTACTCTCCAGAAAGTCTTTGTACCTTATCCAGACATTAAACAATGCTTTCCTAACAATATGGTTTTTAAATGCCTTATGTGCTTTTACCTTGCCATACCACAAATATGCATGCCACCCAAATATATTGTCATACCCTTCAAGATCCAAAACATCTGTATTTTCAAGAAGTAGCCATTCCTTCAGCCAGCAAAAAGCTGCTGACTCATAATAAAGTTTAAGGTCTGGCAGGGCAACCCCCCCCCGTCTTTAGCATCAGTAAGTATCTTAAATTTTATTCTGGGCTTTTTGCCCTGCCAGACAAATCTAGATATATCTCTTTGCCACTTCTTGAAACAATCCATCTTGTCAATAATTTGCAATGACTGAAATAAGAATAACATTCTCGGCAATACATTCATCTTAATAACAGCAATTCGACCCAGCAAGGAAAGCTTCAAATTCGACCAAATTTCTAGATCTTTTTTCACTTCTGACCAGCATTTCTCATAGTTATCTTTAAATAGGTTCACATTCTTAGAAGTCATATTCACCCCCAGGTATTTTACCTTCTTTACTAATGTTAAATCCGTCTCTTTCTGAAACCTCTCTCTCTCTCTATCGGTGTCAAATTTTTCTCCAAAACCTTGGTTTTTGATTTATTCAATTTAAAACCTGCCACCTGCCCCAAATCCTGGATTACTTCTAGAGCCCTCTTAGTACTACATGTCGGCTCCTGTAATGTCAAAACAAGGTCATCTGCAAAAGCTTTAAGTTTGTATTGTTTAACTCCGACCTGAATACCTTGAATCAAATGGTCCCTTCTAATCATATTTAGCAAAACCTCCAGAACCGAAATGAAAAGCAATGGGGAAATTGGGCAGCCTTGTCGTGTCCCTTTCTCTATTTTAAACTCTTCTGTGACCACATTATTAACTATCAATTTGGCCTTTTGTTCAGAATAAATCGCACCTTAGACCATTTTCAAAGTTTTGTCCAACCCCCACCCCCTGAAGATTTTTCTTCACAAAACTCCAGGAAATATTGTCAAAGGCTTTCTCCGCATCTACAAATATCAAAGCTGCTTTTGTGTTAATGTTCACCTGCAGTTTTTCTAAAATATTAATTATGTTCCTCATATTGTCCGATAAATGTCTTCCAGGGAGAAAGCCAGCCTGGTCTTTATGTATCACCTCTGCCAGTACTTTTTTCAGCCTTCTGGCCAGAATGTCTGCAAAAATTTTGTAATCCACGTTAAGTAGGGATATGGGGCGATAGTTCTTAAGTTGTGTCTTTTCAGACTCAGTTTTCGGTATAAGTGTGATATAAGCTTCTTTCCACGACTCTGGCGCTCCCCCCCCTCCATAATTTCATTACAAACCTACTTCAATGGTTGAATTAAGTAGTCTTTCAAAGTTCTGTAATACTTGGAGGTTAGTCCATCAGGCCCTGGAGATTTGCCCAGTTGCATATTCTGAATCGCACCTTCCACCTCTTGTTCAGTTATTTTGTAGTTCAATAATGCTTTATTTTCTTGAGAATTTTTTTGTAATCCATTAATTTTCAAAAATTGGTCAATTTTTGTCTCAGTCTGCGGCCCTTGTGTATAAAGTTGTTTAAAATATCTCTGGAAGCAGCTTCTAATCTCCTGTGGGTTCTGCATGTTCTTTCCATCCACTTCAAGATTGGTAACTGTGTTTAGCTTTTGTCTCCTCTTCAACTGCCACGCTAACAACTTCCCACATTTGTTAGCTGATTCAAGGTCTTTTGTCTCATCTGTTTAATTTTCCATTCAATATCCTGATTTATCATTTTCATATATTGTACTTGATATAACTTAATTTCTCTCAAGATCTCTTGTGACTTTGGTTTAGCTCTAAGTTTCTTCTCTCCTTCCCTTATTTTCTCCAGAATCTTATCTTTTTTCTCATTTTGAGTTCTCCTTTTTATTGCATTCTGCTGTATCAAGAACCCTCTCATTACAGCTTTACTTGCATCCCAGATTACTCTTTTTTCCACAGTGGTCTTCAAATTTATCTCAAAATAGTCTTTCATAATTTTTTGGGCCTTCCTAATAATTTCTGAATCTCTAAACAAGGTGTCATTCATCCTCCATCTGAAGGAACCAGTCAGTGTTGACTTCATTTCCATTTTCACAGGATTATGGTCGGAGCAAGTTTTAGGGCAAATTTACACTTTTCGAGAGTAAACTATGTTTAAACAAAATAATTGCAGGATGTTTCCTGGGCATATGATTGAGCAAAGCTTTTCATGAAGTTGGATATTTTGTGGAATGTATTGTTTTCCTTTAATAATTGAGGAAAGTTCCAGACACCTTACTAATTTGTAGAGAATTTGAGGACATTGAGACAGATGCCTTGTGTCAGTTATAGGTGATGAGCTTTTGGTCATTACAACAGGTCCTATATCAGTTATAAATCCTTGGGGGATATGACTCAAATAAACATATATTGAGGACATGTCCTTTATATGTAGAACTGTAGAAAGCTTGCATGCATTTTAATTGGCTTTAATCTATCATACTGTGATTTCAACTTTCTATATGTTTCAAATAAGGGTTTTAAGTTCTTTAGTGATAATTTTTTATTTTAACTTTTTCTGTAAAGTGCTTTGAGGTTTTTTCCAGCAGTCAGGCAGTATATAAATGTTATGAAGTAAATATAGTAATTAATTTATTAAGCTTTATGTGAGAGAATGCTCCTTAACAATTTTTTCCATACCTTATTTATGTTTTGAAGGATTTCACCCCTAATTTTTCCTAAATTATCTATTTTAATAAAGATTTTAATTAATTTTCAAATGATTTTCAAATTAAATATTGTACACCACAAAAAATAGATGAACAATAATAAAAACTTCTTAATATGTCCTACTAAAGTAAAGACAGTGCCTAGGAAACCTAAACATATTTAACAATTACAACTGGATAAATTTCAAAGAATATAGAATCTGAAAAAGCATTCCAGAGATGGACAACATGTTTGCAAAAAAGGGGAGAGGACAGACCTGCCATGGCTGCAGCCTTTGAAGTTCCAATCTGTCTCCTTCACCCACCATTAACCTCCATTTGGATCTGGATGAATATGCAGCATTTAGGGCCTGAGCCACAAACTGGACGCCGTAGTAAGTGCTGTAGCGGTCTTCAGACCAGATTGGCCTCCATCTCCTCCTGGGACAAAGTCTCCCGTTGTTCCTTTCTGTGCAATCTTGTCCAACCTCCGTGGACAGCACATTGTTTGAACATGTACAACTGAATGCTCTTGACCAAAACTCTGCAGCTACAGCTATAGCTTCAAATGAAAGTTCGAGTATAGTAAGCCATGTTCTGTCCGTTTTTTGGTATTCATTACAAAGGACAAGAACCTTGGGCAGGCTGGAAGTAATCTTTGCCACCAAACAACATCTCATCAATGTCCAGAAGATCTGTTGTGATCCAGAGTATCCCCTGAGATTTCCCCACTTCCTGAATTCTTTGTAACAGTACGATTGGATAAATTCTGTGTTCAGAGTCCCCATAATAAACAAACACCTTAACTTGTCTCAAAACAGATAGTTTAAAATGTAAGGAGGACAGGGTCAACATCTGAATTTTTTCCAAGAAAGCAGCACAAATCCCACTGCGGATCAGCAGAAAGGGGAAGGCACTCAGGAACCTTTCTCCATTGTCATTGTTTGGAACAAAGAGACCGATCCACGTCCACCCGAAATGCAACAACAACTTGACAATCCCCACGTGCTGGGTTTCTTCTTTGGGGATCATCCGGTAGATAAAAGGGAACTGAGTTTTGTCATTCAGATCATGAGCAGCAGAGCCAAAACTGATCTAGTAAGAATAGGATTGGTGTCATGTTTTCAGAAATACACACGAAGGGCCCCATCACATGATCAGGCCAAAGGCTCATCTAACCAGATGTTAACCAGGTGCTTATAGGATGCATGCCATGCCTTTGATGGAGTTTACAGAGAAGGAAGTGGCTCCAATGGACCCTGGGGCAGAGCAGGGCATCTGGGCCTTGTGGGGTCATGGCACATCAACCTCTTTCTAGAGTCACAATGTGCCACTACACAGAATGAGAGGCAGAAGCTAAGCAGCTGCACAGTCTGAAGGAGTGTAAGCACCTAAACCTCTGTGTTCATTTAGCTGCCAGACAGCCACTGGTCTTCCTGAGAAACAAGAACTCATTAGGAACCAGGGGCTACTGTCAACTACATCTTCGTATTGACAAACTGGGGAGGGAGACAGGAAGAAGCTGAGGGTTTTCTAAATTGTTTTCCACATTCTTAAAATGTGATTCCCCGCCCCCTTTGGTCTCTCTTTTTGGGTGCTTTTCTTTTGTGTTCCCTGGAAAATTTGGCCCTTAGGATATTGCTGAAGTACATCTCCCACATGGCTACAAAGAATAGTTGTCTTTGTTTGTAGTTTAGAAACTTCTTGGGGCATGAAGGGGTTCCTCACCACTGCTGGAGAGATAGCAAAGAGGACTGAAACATAATTGATTTCTTCCCTTCCATTTCCTACCTGGGGCATTTTGTAGATGCCTAACATGCTTGAAATCTGGCTGGGGATTTCAGAAGAAGTTGCTTCAAAAACAGCCAACACATTATTCTTTCTTCCACAGCTGTAGTTTGGAATACTGTCTAGCATGGCATCGGCAGTTGTCCTGACATCAAAAGCAGCCTCATAGATGCTATAGCCCAGGGTGACATTGGCTAAATGCTTAAGATGCCGGGTGATCTCTTGGGTTGCAAACAAGATGGAGAGGACTGCTGAGGTGTCCTTGCTGACCAACTGCAAATAAATGAATACACAAAAAATCATTTTAGCCTTCCATTCCATTAAAGATAACAACTTGCAACACTCCCTGTTCTACAAAAACATAAGAATGCCTGCTGGTTTTATATCTAACGGGCCAAACTCTGCAGCTAGGAAGGAGCAGAATCTTGCCCAGATCCACCAAGAAAGAAAGGAGTAGCATTTAGGAGAGCTTGATCTGGGGTGAATTAGATTGAAATGATCACTTAGAGTTTCTTAAGTGCAGAGACTTGTTGGAACTCTTTAGAGGATGAGAAGATATGAAAGAGAGAAATGCGCTCTCTTGGGCTACCCACCTTAACTTCTGAGGGTGGTGGAACTACCTAGTAAGATTCCTATACTGATTTGAACGTCCCAGAGAGTTTGAAGGGAAGGAGGTGGTATCCTTACATTCTGATTTTTACACTTTCTTTTATCCCCAAATGCAAGATTGCACAGTGCATTTAATACTTACTTAAGATACAATGTAACCCAAATACACCCAAGACCACCTGGGACTTTTAAGTTAGACAGTTCTCTTTGGAATACAGGAATAGGGGAAGCTGTCAAAGGCATTCTATACTTGACTAGGTAGAAACACACTTTTTGCATAAGAATACAAAATGAGACATGAGATGATCAACTGTGCTTTGTATTAATGAAACTCCAAAATAGTGAAACGGTTCAGAATTAGCCTCTCTGTTAGCAGGATGCCAAGGGGTCACTAGGTACTTTGTTGCTGATTCTCAATCCCCAAATCTTCTTCCAAAGGCAGTAGAGGGCCAAAGGAGAGAGAAGGTTTTTATCAGGGATGGCCAGATATTAAATGGTGTCTCTGACAAAAC